TGTTTGTCTCTTTTGTTGTTGTTTTGTTTTGCCTTGCTTTCCCCCCCACGGTGATTAAGTTGAATTTGTTGTACATGTTGTATAAATAAGAAAACTAATAAAACATAAATTTTAAAAAAACAAAAAAAACATTGTCTGTTGCAGTTCTGTCAAACACGAAGTTTCAGGGAAAATATTCATAAATGTTCAGTCTTTTTATATCTACCAGATACTTATTTTTATTATCTGAAATGCCCTTTTATATATTTCTCATTTTAAATATTGAAATGTGCACTTGCCGTGTTGAACCAGAACTTGGTGAATGGGGCATTGTAGAACTCATAGATTTTCCTCCCGATAGGAACCCTCTTCCCGTGCTTCTTGTCACTCTCATTTTCTTCTTCATCTCCTTTCTTTGAAGTAGCGTCAACATTAGATGCTGCATCCTGAAACAAAGTCTTAGTTACTCAAACAGCTTAATTTTATGTCGATGTTAACAACACAAGAGTTTTATACCTTGTTTGACTTCTTGTCATCTTTAGTTTTTCCATCATTGCTTCCTTTGGATGAATGATGAGGAGCTTCATCCCCAAGACGAAAGTCCAGGAGCATGATGGCAGGAGGGAAAATAATCCCTAAAATGACCTGGAGACAGGGTGAGGAGCGGACAAAGGTCAAGCTTAACAGAATTATGTTAACATATAGATGCCTCTCCAGTACTGCTGGGATCCCTCAGGGTTCTATCCTTGGGCCTATTTAATTTAAAAATTACATTTTAACTTGTGAAGTTCTGAAAAGCAAACAAACTCTTAACCTTTTCTGTCTATCCAGTTTCTTTATTCTACCCTTTTCCTGAGAAAACCTTGCTGCTGTATTCTGCTGGTACCTTGAGGCTGTTGCTTTTGCCCATCCTCAGACAGCCCATCCACATGTCGGTCAGCAGCATCTGGCTGCAGGTGTGGGCAATGAAGTCTCTGTGTTTGGCAGCTACAGCCAGCTTCAGGCAGGTGGAGTTGCTCCAGTTTTTTAGCTCGTAGGTCAGGAGCTTCATGGCCACCTGCTCATCGTGTTTGTAGGATTGATCCAACAGCTCATAGGCCAGCTGACCAAAGTCCCTGCAAAGAAAAAGGCCAACACCCTCCTTAGGCTGCCTCACAGTGGATACTTTAAAGCTGGAAAACCAGCATGTGGCTTTAACAAACACAACTGAGAAGGTTTAAAAGATAACAAGGGCCTTAAGAGTATAAACAGAAGCTGGACACAATGTCCAGGATTGTGTGTGGGACTCACTTGGAGTTGTTCTCCAGGTCCTGGTAGATGTCATCCACCAGCTCGCTTTGGGAAGACTCGTGAGCCATGGCCTTGTAGAGCTTGCAGGCTACTAGAGCCTTTGCCATGGCCTCCTCCCCTCGCTGCCACAGGAACAATGCCATCTTTTGGCGCTTCATCAACACCGCCCACACCATCAGTTCATGGAAGGGGTATTGGAACCTGCTGACTTCAGGGTCATCTACATCAATGTCTACTTCCTCCTCCTTTTTCTTGTTCTTCTTTCCTTTCCCCTTTGGACGGGGTTCATCATCCTGCAGAAACCAAGCAGGTCAGCAAGTCTTCCTCTCAGAGCAGATCACCTTTAGTTTTCAGATCTACATGTACATACCTCCATGCCAAGAAGCTTCAACGCTTTGGGCTGTAAGACACAAGATGAAAATGTGAGTAAATATTAGTGTATTGATGCTACAGCAGATGCAAGGTCATTTCTATCGCAGCTCCACCAACTTTACTCACTCTTTTGAGGCCATACAGGTTGTTATACAGAGTCCTGAAACTCTTCCTTGTGTACTTGCAGCGGTACGCTCCACCCATCAGGAACTCCAGGACCAGTCCAATATCGATCAGTGTGATCTGGTAATCTGGAGGAAGATTCCCCTGAAACACATGTCATTGGATTATGCATCTTTTGTTCAGTCATTCCTCATATTTTCTTTGATTTGCTAGTTTTCTTTCTGCAGATGCAGTGTAGAAGAGCCGATTTCCTTCAGTGAACAGGACACTTATACCTCGTTTTTAAAGGTCATGAACATATTTTCTATGATGTGCAGCTGCGGTTCTGCCCTGGTACCTTCTGGGGACAAGCAGCCTGAGCTCAAAGCATATACAGCAGTTTAAATATTTCATGAACTCGGTGAATCCAGAGCACGGTACTCACCTTTTTGACATCTCGGACCAAAAAGTGCAGAGTGTTGGCTGGTCCCAGTTTCTGCAGAAACCAACCACAAAACAAGGTGATGCAAATAAAAACAGTGGTGGCTTCTCTGCTTAATACAATTTATACAAATTAACAGATTCACTCAGAGACCAGAGGACGTGATGAGCGGGATGCACGCAGACAGCAGCAGAGAGCTGTTTTGTAATCTGACAATAATGTGGCTAAACCATTGTTTTAAGAGCTTTTATGTCTGTGGATCAGAGCTAGATTAGAGACAGCAGCAGTGATATAACAGAAGAAGGACATTAAGCTGCAGAGCAACGTGTCAGCGAGAGTAAAGTGGTTAGAGCAGAGCTTTTGTTTTGTTAACAGATGTCCAAATTTTATTGAGCTCAAACAAGCATGAAGGTATTATATTACAAGGGAAGAGTAACAAATGGTGAAGTACCAAGAAATTGGAGCATTTTCTGCCTGATGTATATGAGCAGTGTCCCTGAGAGAATTAAGATTTTTCAATGCATCATATAAAACCAAAACTTTTTTTAAGGTTTCTGCTGATTCAAACAGTGCAGTTTAATCTTACTCTCATATTCAACAAACCAGCCCTCATTACTGCATCAATAACAAACAGGCAGACTGGGAAAAACATTTGAAAGGTGACATAACATGTATTACCAGCAGGGTGTGCTCAAGCTCCACTGCAGCTCAGTTCAATGCTCTTCCAGCCCCCATTGAAGATAAGATAAAATAACTCTGTATTGTATCTTGAATGAACCTGAGGTTTATGTGTGTGTTACCAGCCTGCTGTGAGCACCAAATAATCAGGGCTCTCACCCTGCTACGTCTAACATCTTGATTCAGGATAATCACACCCAGTTTAACACCACCATAAATCGGTTACCCAGTTTCATTACCCCGTCATAAAATGATGCTTTGTACTGGGTTTAAAATGGGTTATTTCTTTCTGCTGCTGATGGATTTTTATGCTGATTTCATTCAAGGTCATTTTAAATTTTTATTTATTATATAATTCTTGCAAAGAGCACTTTTTTCGTTGTAAATCAACTATGACTCTGCACACGGGAGGTGTCATGGAGTAGGTCCTCCTCTCACCGTGTTGTACAGCTCCTCCAGACGGGGGATGGTGAGGAAGTGGTGGATGTTGACGCCGTTCTCAATCAGAAGTTTAACGAAGTCGACCCTGTCCAACACCAGCGCGTCCATCATGGCCTGTTCCAGTGAGTTCACCTGTCCCACACAAAAACACCATCATGACAATCACCCCCTGCCACCTGCTTCTGGATCACAGATTTGCCTCGATCAGTCAGTGTCAGTCACTGAGCGGATGCTGGTGGCGGCTATTCAAGATGATAACATCACTTTTAGTCCAGTCTCCTACCCAGTTGAGCAGCTCCAGTTTCCGAGGGTCCGTCTCTTCAGGAGGTTCAGGTTTGCTTTTTCCTCCTTTTCCCTTCTTCCCCCGGGGTTTCCCTTTAGCCCCTCCTGCTGATGGTCGCTGGGCTACCGGGCTCTTTGGACGGTCAGAAGGTGAAGTTCGCACAGGCTGAAACAGAAAGCAAACGCAAGTGAGGAATCAATAATCCACAAACACAGAAGTAAAAGACACCTAGGCTGAGGAAGCAGACAAATGGATGACAGAACGCTGATGTCAAAGAAAAAAGTTTCTCTTGAAAGAAAAACAAAGTTTACGGAGTGACTGAAGCTGTTGTATCTGTGAACTCACAGGCCAGTGGAGTCCATACACAAAGATCTGACTGCGAGCAATGTCCACTCTGTTCCAGGCCAGAGCCAAGCTCAGCTGATCAGACGCAGATGCATTTGTACCTGAAACCAGGAAAAAAGATCTCACCCTCAGTTCTGTCCCTACACAGACATGTTTTTGGAATAAATATTAGAAATATGAATGTGTTGCTGTTACATTGACCAATTAAACCATGTGAAATCACTGCGACTCCATATGCTTGAAGAAATTATCTGTATTGCCAGCCACATGTGGCTTCCATGACACTCATTACACCAAATGTCCCAATTTAAGTGGAGAAAAGCATAATTTGCTTTGATGTACTCAGACCTATCAGAGAAATGATCCTGAACTGAAACACAGGCCAACATTTCTCTTAGGCAGTCGCCTGTCTAAAATGTTACCTAACACAACAGCATTAACATTGTTGTGCGTTTCCTTCTTAAAACCCTTTCACACACCAACCTTTGAGCAGAGCTGTGAGGATGGACATCTCAATGTCCTGCTGTCCCTCTGAGCCCATCCTGAACACTGTAATCTACACAATCAACAAAGAAACAGCACAGTGAGCGACACAAACCAAACCAGACACCCAGATCCTGAGAGGCAAAGCTCAGGGCAGAGAACCGGTCCCATTATAGGTCATCCGTCTCAAATCAATGTGCATCTTCTGCTTTGCTGGCTCCAACTTAGTTATGAATCTTATGGTGCAAAGCTTGGACACATATGGACTGATTACTGTGACAATTTAGCTTCATTTATCAAAGGTTTTTCAAGATTCTTTCTTTGAGTCAACATAAATTAATTTAATGTCAGAAAGAATTGTGCATGCTTTATTTTGCATTTTATTTAGCATCAAATATTAGACAAGAGACCTTAATGTTTTCATAGTAATCATTCATTCACACAGTGACATTTTTAGCCTTTTGAGATGTTCATGAAAAGTGGATCAGCTGATCATTTAAAGGATTCAAAAAGATCTTTAAAGGATTAAAAATATATGAAGCTAAAATTTCACAGGAATCATCATTTATCTTCAAACTATCTACAATAACATTTTTATGCAAATTGGAGACGATAAAGCAGGTCGTGAAAATGTGATTGAGATGGAATAAGGCATACGTAATCTGGTAAATCTGTACCTGTTATCTCTGAGCCTCCAAGGATCTATTTCCTTTGATCAGATATAAAAGTTGGATGCAGACATTAGATGTAAATGTGATGAAACTGTCAGAATTCCAGATCTAACAGACGTTGGTCTTGATTTATGCAGCAGACCAGGGTCTGAGCAGCTCTCCTGCAGAGGTGGTGTCCACCCCTCACACCACTCAAGGAAATGCAGCAACCTGAACACAAATGTCTTGTGACATTTGCCAATAATGTTATTTGTATTTCTTTTTAGATGCAGGCTGTATCACATTCAACTCTTAATCAACACCGATTGTGCATCTATTTTTTTATTTTAAAAGTCCTTCAATGAAAGAATAGGTCATCTGATGACGTCCTCTAATATATTCCAGCAGCATCAATCCAGCCTACTCATGAGGAACCCGTTTGGTTTTTAAACCGCCTTATCTGGCGATCTCAGCTAGACCATTGAGTGTCACTGAAAATGACATTGAAGGCTTCCCAGTGTGGTAAAATATGAAGGACCCTCAGTGTCAGTAAAGAATGAATCTGGAGTGAGAATCTGTTGTTTGGACATGTGCGGCAGGTTTTCAGATGCGTTGCACTGCTGGTTCCCCCCCCTCCCATCTGTATTCTGTTGATTTGGTCTTTGTGCTTATTTTCTAATTGATTTACATTCAAAAGGCAGGTTCTTCTCTGGAAGAGATTAATGGATAATGATATCATCACTGGAAGTCAAAATCTGAACACAGGCATTTTCACGTGTGTGATTTACACGAGCTTTATTTTCCTCATGTTTCTGACTTCAGGTCATGTCTGCAGACGAACATGTGAACCTGCAGCAAAGCAATTTTAATCTGACAGCAGATCAGTTTAAGTGAATTGATGTTCAGATTTTTACATTTATGGGCAGCCTGCTGTTGCAGCTGTTCTCTGGAAGAAGCAGAGGATTGTGGGATTAAATAAATGGTGGAGGGTCACAGAACAATCTCCACTAAGTGCTGCAGTGTCACTTCAAAGGGAAACCCTTCATTGTGCAAATGTCACAGTGAACAGGTTTGTATAACATGAATCTGTAAACTGCAGAAACGATGCCCAACCAGTAGTGTAGGTTAACTTACCACAGTTACACATGTGAGGTTTAAAAGAACTTAAACAATGTTTAAGTTGTTTAAGTTCCTTCCCCCCCCCCACACACACACCTGAGCTTATGTCATTACAATCTTCAGAAGTGTTTGCTCAGTGCTGGTTCAGAGACTTAAGCCATTGTTCTCAAATTGGCACCAACACTTGTGCACCCTGGCATGTAAGGTAGCTCCCCCTGGTTGCGTTCGGTCATCAGGCCTCTACATGGCTTTAATTCTTTTGCAGGGTTGGACTGTTACAGGACACCCTGTCCTACACAGTACAAAAGAAAAATGGTGCATAGCCAAGACGAAGGAAAAATAAAAACCAAAATCTGGCGCAGACAGTTTAATTTTGAGAAAAATTAATGCGTTTCATTGTGAACTCAAATCACAGTTTGACATTCGGTTGTTGTCTTTAGTAAATCTGCAGCATATTCATGCACTCCTGAACCGCTCAGATCCAGGCAGGGATTATTTCGTCCCCAACAGTAACACAACTGTGTATGAAGGCAGTAGGGCTGGTTTGTGATAAATGACTGAGACGAGATGGGTTGGGGATGGAGATCAGGTTTATTAATGAACTGATGAGGACATACGTGACAGACAAATGCAGTTATGGAAAAAAAACAACTTAATTTCAATTTGCCCCCAACCTACCAGAGCTCTCTTCTTCATGCACTCCATCACCATGAGGAAGATCTGCTGTGCCTGGCTGCGGCTGTAGTTGAAGGTCTTCTGGATGGTGACCAGCAGCTGGTCTTTGACACTCTCACTAACCAACCTGCGCAGGAGAAACATCCAGGTAGCCACATTAACATTAAACTGAGGAACGCAAAGGGGTATAACGATAAAGAAATTCCCATATTAAAACTGGAAAACTATGAGCGTCTCACATGATCTGATAAATTGAATTATTAGTAATTGTGCATTTTAGAAGCAAATGTGATTTTCTACATGACATTGTAGTCTGGCTATTTAACTTCAATCTGTCGATGACAATCCTCAGTGATTGTATCAATACCATAACTGCCACCAGGTGTGATCGTCTAGTTAAGCCTGGCTTTCACGTTCGTTCAGCTCACCCATCTTCCTCGCAGTATCTGTGAGCAAACGAAAGGATGTCTGAAGCTCGACCACTGCCATCACAGACCACCACTGGGACAGGGGGCTCCTCCTTCAAGCTCTCCAGTGTGATTGAGATAACATTTGGACCACCTTCTACGATTAGACAGACCACTGGGACCCCCTGACCAAGACCTGAAACCACCATACACAAAAATAAGTTCTAAGGCTAACTTCGATCAGCATCTGCAATTCAAAATAATGACCTTCAGCATTCAGTGATTAGCTTCACTTGCACCAATTTGGTTTTCCTTTTCTGAAGAGTCACTCATTCACACAGAGTGCTGTGCAGCTTTAGCATTGCTGAGCCACCCACCAGAAAACTGCTCTCATGTATGGTCTTCCACCTTTATGCAGGACCACGTACCCAAACCCAGCACCCCTTTCACTCTGGAACTGCTTTCTAGCCATGCATTGTGCTCAAACTAAAAATGGTTTGTTAAAGACAACATTTCTGCCACAAGTAGTGTGAAACAGCCGCCTCACTTAGACTTACCTGACTCGATACAGTTAAGGTTTGATAGAAAAAAAAAAAAAAAAGTCTTGATTTTCTGGTCATTTATGGTGGCCTCATGAAGTGAGAGGTGACAGCTGAGCTCCCCTTTGCTGTCCCTGCCTTACAGACAGCTCCAGGCATAGGATGACAAAGGGAAACCCACAGGTCACACAGATTGATGGACTGATAAGCTTCAGACTGACACTAAAAGCAATTGTGCATTTTGGGTAGGTCACATGTTTGACTCACGTGTGTTGATTTTCTGCAGAGAGATATGCTTCTCCAGCTGCCGGCGGAGGCGAACCTCAGCGCCGTACTTTCCACACGTCCCGTTATCAGCAAGGATGAAGTGGGAGTGGCTGCTGTTCAGGACTGACAGCTTGCTGAGTGGGTTGGACATTGTCTGATAAGGCCGGGTCACCTAAAACATGAAACCCCATGTTTCACCCAAGTGAGGAACAGCACATTCTGCTGCCAGGTGTTTTACTACATAAATATCTGCAAACACTGTCGGCTTAGACTCCGTCTGGTTTGTCTTACATCTCTCCCAATCAGGTCTTCTTTGTTCTCCACAATCCCCCACGGTGCAATCCCGATAGCACAAACTTTCCCTCTGGACTTTGAAGAATGGTCTTTCAGAGCATCGCCAACATGGCGGATAACTCCTGGGGGAAAAAAAAAAAGTCATGATATACAAAATGACTTATTTTGATGTCAAAGAACAGGAATGGCATCAAGTCATCTTTGCATAAAGAATGAAGGCTGTACCTGTACTGACTCCTCCAGTGAAGATCCAGGCTCCAGTGGTGACAGCAGCTTTGATCAGCCCTTTACCAAAGACCTGCTTCAGCTTGGGAGGCAGGTCAAAGTTCTGGAGGCCTCCATGAACAGAGATGAGAAGTGTGGGAAGCTCCAGCTGCCAGTCCTTCACCATCAGGTGGAGCAGGGAATCTGGTTTGGAGTCAAAGGAGACCCTGATGTACTGTAGGAGGAGGAAGAGGTGTCAGTGCTAGAACGCTACAGAAGCAGTGAAGCTGGCGTGTCACTCCTCAGGCACACTACCATGGCCTTGTTGACATGTCCTCCTCCCTGAAACTCCAGCACCCCATAGGCATCAGTGGGGGAGACCTGGGTGTGTTTGAGGGCACTCCATCTCTCCGTAGATTGGACTTCCAGCTGGACCAGTGGGGCCCCGTCCTCTTTGGCCCCCAGAGGGATGGCGGTGTGCTGTGCCACCAGCTGACCACAGCTGCACCTGAACAAAAACAGCAGTACAAACAGGTTACAGGCACTGATGTTCATTTTCATTTACCGCCTCACTGTGTAAGGTAACTGTTGCACTGAGCAGAGGGGGAACCGTCGTTTCTACTATAATATGACGAGATGAGAAACTATTTCCACTTTAACCATTTTTGCTTTTATAGGATATCAACTCTGCAGACAGGCTTTCATTAAATTGCAGGAACTGAATGTTTTATGCAACATTACCACCAATAAAATTACTGAACCTGAAGTTAAACACTGATAGTACAGATTCTCCAAGAATTCTTCATAGCAGCAGAACAAGCTTGTCTCGTTCGTCATTTAACAGACATGGGGTCATATAACTAAAGCACATAATCAACAGCGAGTGAGCAGTCACATTACACTGATCAAATGAAGCAATCAGTGTAGAAGAGAAGCAGCTAATAAAGACATAGAAAGATTCCAGTCACTGGAAAGCTTTTTGGCTCCTCTGGAACTTGAGTTGCTTGTAACAAAAACAAGTTAAAAAGCCGCACTCATGGCCTCAAGTACAACACTCAGGCAGACGCGAGCGACTCCAGAAAACCAGCCTTAATTTACATTACACTCAAAAACCCGAACACCAACGAGCACAAGCTCAGAGCCAAGAACACACAGAGCCTAAGGTGAAAGACTGGTCTGTTTATACAGATGAGCTCATCAGGGAAGTGGAGACAGCTTGGGGAAAAGGGACACAGGTGAAGACAATAAGGACAATCATTAAGGATTAGCTCAAAGACACAAAAGAAACAACAAAGGAAATAAACTAAACACAAAGGCAAGAAAACAGAGGCTGGAACAATAGACCAAAAC